CTGAGGATGACGTTTTGTGAAAATGTCACGGTTTGGGCTGTCTAACGCACAACGGGTGGTAGTTACCTTTGCAAAGTATATAGTCTGTGTCTCTACATACTATCCACAAAACAGTCACTCAACTTATTGACAAAGCCATGTGATGAACACGACCGGATCGTCTGTCTGAACGAGTGGGAATAAATGTCTGCGCCTGACTGGTTGTTCTGTACAGTCCCGAGGCTGACATTTGGAAACGGGGTTGTTTTCTTTCGAAAATTTACCTTTCTGATGCAGGCGATTAGTTACCGTGAACCTGGACGGAACCAACCGAGATGAGATGAGCTTCCTAAGGACTAACCAGGAATTGCAAAATATTGGGCACTTAAATTAGCATGTTATCATGTTCTTTTCTGGAACGTTAACCTGTCCAGGTCCTTTGCAATTATCGATCTGTAGGAAAACATTATTTTTAGGTAGTTTTCAACTTCCGATCCCATCACGTTATCAGCATCTCAGTAAGCTTGGAATAAATTTTTGTGAATTGTAAAGCAGCGATACGATATCGTACTACTAAATTCCTTGTCAGTAGGTTCAACAACATAATAACCTTTTGTATCAGCTTGCAGGCATAATTATCGAGTTAACCGTCAGAGTACGTTTGTTGTTTGGACTCACTTGTATCATTTAGATTGAACTGACCAACGATATAACATTGTTTTATTGGGTTTTCATGGCATTCAGAAGAAATAAACATTACACGTATTCCTCAGAAGACACGAAACAAACCATCTTAATTCAGCTTTCCTTGTCATGATGAGTTTAAATGCTAGTCTTTTCATGATACCTACCCAATTATACTGTCAACCAAGTAGACTCAGACAACAGCTGCAAATTGTTACGCATAAAAACGTCCCATATGATCGGTTGTACTTGTTTTTTATGTATATGGACAGATTATCTGGACAGACTGTGTTGGTAATTTACATGATTTAGTTCGTTTGTTTGAATATATTAAGACTGGGTGGGTTTGAACAGTTTTCTCATTGTAATGTAAAAGTTGAACATTGCGCTTTTATGATAAACAATCATCAAAGGATGGGGGTCATTTTTTGTGTGGTTTCAATTGGATGACTATACGGGCAACTAACAATCATAAAAATGTGAATTGAAGCAACGAATGGCTAGCATGAAAAGTAATCGTATGGAAATCGGTCTCACATGGATGATGACGTCATTTTACAGCTGATCGTCTATGATCGTCGACGTGTGTATGCAATCAAACCAGAGCCTGAGCGCAGAGTTTCAAAACAGACCTAGGGTTGAGGGGGGTGGGGCGGCGAAGTGTGTTGTCTGTGATCAGTTCATTTGGACAGGTTGACAGCTGGAATGACTGACCCTATTATCAAGATCTATCATCACAATCGGCTTGATTTACGATTTTCCCAGCATACCTCCCTCCCTTTCTCAGGGGAGATTTTGAAAGAGGAATACTTGACTGACCCTCAACGCGTTCACCACCATTGTGCGATTTCCGACCGTATCGTATCACCTCGCATCACATATTGGTTGCTTTCAGCTCCTCAAGGCTGACTGCGGTCATGATGAAGTTGAAAGTGAGAAAGTTTGTTTTACATCAGTTGTCATTCTGTAAGAACATGTGGTAAGACAGCGAAAAATTTTCAACTGTTGATGGTCACCTGGCGCATGGGACAAATTTTACTTGTAATCAATCTGAGTTAAAAAGATGTTAGTCCCGAATTACACTTCGAAACCTGTGGAACACAAGCTGGTCACAATGGTTGCAGTTCACATGAGATAGAGTTTACTAGTTCAATAAGTAACCTATGAACCACAGAGCTTTTACTTATGAGCATTTAAGTTATTTGATAGAAGCCTACAGTCAGCACACAGACTCAGTAAACGATACAATGATGACACACACAACGACCAGAAATACTGTGAACCCAACTCCATCGCATAAAGAACTGACCGTTCGTTTTGACAGTAGCGTTACCTAGGCAGAAGAGTGTTTCTAACATTAAAAAACATATCATTTCTCTGATCAATTGAGGTTTGGTTTTTGTTCTGCTGATTCACTATCTGTTGACATCGATACGTACCTCAGACTATTCAGTTTTATTGCAGTTTACTACTATCCTGTTGTTAATTTAACATTTTGGTCTATAAGCTACTCACATATTTCAAAGCTCATACAGATGCCAGAAAGGCTCAATCACGTACTGACCTAATACCAGTACAAGAACCGAATGTTGTAAACAAGTTTGTTGTTATTGGCTCATCATGGATTAAGGTGTGGCGTAGTTTTAGTACCTTCTCACTACGGCAACGAACTCTAAAAAACAAACAATCAAATGATCGGTGATGGCGAGCTAGAAGCTTTGAAGGACAACTGTTGCTCTCGTTCAGATTTAAATCGTATCCAAACCGTTCTATAATGGTACACTAAAAATGGATAGCTAACATGACGTAACGATTTTCATTATCACTGTAATGCGTTTTTATTAAACAGTGTGCAACCAAACAGTTTTTGAATGTGACACCGTGATTAAGCGTGTTGTTAATACCTTTCGTTAAGAATGTATTCAACTTCTTTGTTCATTGGTGTACATTTTCGTTGCTTGTATTGGAAACCGAATGATATCTTCAATTGCTTAAGTCATTATAACATATTACGATAGCTGTGGAAATTCCTGTTTGTTCAGAATACTACATTTCGTGAGTATTCTGTTTTTTTCTTTTCCCCCATCAGTAAACATGTTTGTTTTGCCGCCACTGAGGCTACCCAATTATACTACACCAATTTCTGCCTCAGCCTGATAGTAAGTGATATTACAATGACTGGAAGTAGGGTGGTTATTTTTAGAGTCGATCATGATATTAATCATGAAAATTGTGGCCCAAACTTGAGCGATTTTGTTGTATCTACGGCCCCTATGAATCAAGGCTAGTTGAACGACTTGCTCACTATTAATGTTTAATGTGGTTGAGTGATAGAAGAATTATCTGATAGGAATGTACACTGTGACCATCAGGTTTCGCTAAATTTTAACAAGGCAAAGTTGAAATACAGTACGGAATCTAAACGTAAATGATATAGTGGTGATGGTTTTGAAAAGATTGTGCTCTGAAAAAGGAGTCGTTGTAGAAGTTGCAATTGTCGCATGATCTCCAACGAAATGACGTCCTTTCTGCAAAACTCATGGTCATATAGAGGGCACTCTGCAAAGGTTCCGGTTGTCAGAGTTTAATCAATACGTGACAGAAGTTTAAAAAACACGACATTTCTGGTAAGTTGGAAGTGAACAAATGTTATGTGGTCGTCTCAGCACAGCGCAAGTCTGTGGAAAAATATTCGAACGCAGTTAATCGAGCAGATTCAGGTATAGGCTGATGTACTAGTGGTTAGTCCACGTGGACCTTAGTTCACTGCCAGGCTGTGGCATAGATATGTAAGAGGATACTCATAGTGTCGGAGAGCAGGGTAAGATCTCAATGTATACACTAGTGTTGACTCTCGTGGTTCACGGGAAATACAACAGACATAATCATTTATTCTGTGTATAGGAAACTGTGGATAAACATCGAAACTTGAAACAACTGTCCAGTTGAATACTGACCAACAGATTAATGGCCAAGATAACCATTGCTTGCATTCGTGGTGAAATCTGTTAGTATAATAAGTATCAGTTCGTTGACAAGTTGACCTTGGTGTCAGTAGCCTATGGTAAACAACAGATGCATGTTATTTATGACCTCTAACAAGCTTGAAGCTCGAGTCCAGTAAATACTTTTGGAACAGGCCAACCGTAGACTGAGAAGCTGTATAAAAAGTAAGCAGGGATCAACTTATAATATCACTATGGTTACTAGATTTTTTGTAAGTATATAACACGGCGTCATCACTCGGGTGGCAGTCGTCTTAGCAATAACTTTTGCTCACCTCTGAGGGTATCATAATGTTTATTGTTATATGCAACCAAACAGCCAAATTAAGAGTTTTACAACATCTTAATATGACTTACACAAATTCCGCTTTTATGACCTGAATACAGCTGACGCTTGACAGCAGATTTTGCTTTCAAGTAGACTTGTCAACCAGTCCGTTTCGATAGAAATTACCAAATTCATGTTTCGTTCTTGCTAGATTTTGCCAGTAGTATATGTTCCTGTTACAACCATGACTAAATTTTGACTCGTGTTCTTAAGAAACGAGAACTATTGAAGCACACATCGTTAACCTCATATTAGACATAAGTTAATGACGATATCTAAAAGTCCAGCTATCCTCGTTTGTGGATGACATTCATTTTGTTCGGTCACCTCCAGAGGGGACACAGCAAATGTCCAATTGACCTCACGCCCACAATTTGTCGGCAAGGTTAATGTTGAAAAGAGCTGAGTGAGAGATCTACTGGATTACCAATACTGCTATCATTTTGGGATGATAATCAGTTAACGTTGACCAAACTCCCTTACCAGTAGTCAAAACATCGCTTAACAAGTTCAAAGATGTCTGTTAGATCAACTTGGAGATGAGTCTTGATCATAAGGTTATTGATTAGAATTAACAAAATAGTAACTGTCTTCTCCCAAAGAGTTCGGTTACCTCAAGGATCACTTAAATATGAAGGTGAATGAGCATTCAGATATGATACTTCGGTTGTTTCTAGTTCGGAGTTCATGAAACAGCGGTCACCATTTGAGACGGGAACTCCCTATGGACAAGGTTTGTGAGAAGAAGGACTGTATCACTAACGGTAACCTTCCTGTTGACCATCAAGCCACTTAACCGCACTGATTAGACAACAATGTCTGGTAGAACCTACAACTGTAACACAACGACAAAGCTAAGCATCACTTCTGGGTCTGCTGAGGAAGATTTCTGCCTCCAGAAGAAATCATATTCAGGAGTAGCGTTGGTGAAGTATTGACTTTGGTGAACTTGGAACCGTCTGTTTACTGTAGAATTTCAGGTGAGATCCACTTATGAAAAGTCAAGGCTTCGGCTGGATTCGAACCAGTGACCGAAACACAATGCCTCGACGCGGCAGGCGCCCTATCAGCTGAGCTACGAAGCCACGCCGGATCATTTGCTGGATTTCATATGAGACAGTGGGACGGGTAGGTAAACGAGTCCAACTGTGAAATTTCCGAGCTCCTGGCATGGCTTCGTAGCTCAGCTGGTAGAGCGCTTGCCGCGTTTGGGCATGTTGATTCTGTCGCCGATTCGCATCCAGCCGAAGCCCTAACTTTTCATAATTGGGTCTAATCTAAAATCATAAATTTGCCAAACTACTCATTAGTAACACTGTAGAATTGATGAATACTTTCAAGTGTCGTCAAAGTGAGGGACAATTTTTGATTCCCGTGAGATGATGGAGGTAGCGTTGGGGTCGGCAGTCTTCTGCTGAACAGTGGCCAAGTGCCGTGTCCTACCGCACTCATCTAAAGCAGTAGTTCCTAAACTTGCTCAGCTTCTCGAACGTCATATCACCATACTTCCCAAGATGCACCCATTACAAAGGCGTTAACATCTTAACATTGACCTTTAAGATAATTCATCACAAAGCAACATAAATTTTCGAGAACAAGCATACAGAAATCATATCAGCTTATTATCAAGGGAGTGAATACCACTCAGAATCAATTAGAGAATCTCATTTTAGGAAGTTTTAAGCATACTTCTCTTCTTCAACTTCCAGTTATAACCTCATTTTTCCTCCTCATTTCCCCTAAAAAACGATATTACAAAATATATGAAATATTGATCTGATTCTAATGAGTATAATCAGTAACAATAAATATGAGAAAGCAACTATAAGGTTAAGCTAGTTGAAGTAACATTCAGGTATCAAAGCCATAAACAAAGAAATTGCATTACACTTGTTAGGGCACCCACCTTGTGACCGCCCCAGGGCGCCTCCGTCGTGAGAAAGAAGAAAAAACCATTTGACTCAGTCCAAACTAGCGGAACTGTTCAAAGCAGTTGTGACTTTTATACCGCTATGCCCGTGTGCGATCCTGACTCTTTCTCATGATGTGGTGGGAATGTGTGTTCATGACGTGCCCTATAAATACCTTGTATTTGTCGCCCTAGCCACACTCTGTTTTGTAGCGGAACAAAGCTTCTTATTTTGAACGCGTCTTTTGGCTTGCCTTGGGAGCGAATACGGGACAGTCGCGGCACTATTCGGGACCGAGATTTTCGTGTGAGTTATTACCGGGACGAGAATCCGCTTTTATCGAGCGCACCACTCTACCGAGATCGAACCAGCGTATCATTTAGGAGGGTTTACAACAATACTCGAATTCGTTTATCAGAAACTTCCCCCAATGTTCAACAATAAGCTTGATGAGACTAGATCGAAGACGTCATCTAAATGAGTATCAGTCAGCTTGGCTCGTGATTGGTCCTTCGAGTGATAGGATTTGTGAGAAGATTAGTCGTCGTCTAGTATGGATACTATTTTCGAGTTGAAACCACGAGCACGATAATTTCGTCTGACGAGTGAATGCTGAATTAAGAGCTAGTGGAATCTCGTAATTACATCAATTGAAAAGAACAAAAGTAACCAGGAAATAAATTCAGGAACACGTTGATCAGCGAACTCGGTCAGATTGTGATTGGGTCAAGTATACAATGATCAAATTATAGCTTATTATGATACCTACAACAAGTTGCCTATAAGCTGAACGCTTCGATACATCAACGATAAACTCAGATAGGGTAGCACGAGTGGGAAAAGTGAAATTACAAAAAAGCCTTTGTGCAAACATGCAGACTACCCTGAACTTCACTCACTTAGTTACAGCCGACACCTATAAGTGGGATTGTGTATCTATAGTCAGAACATGTGTCAGATCGTACGGGTTTGCAGCGATCTAGTCATCCGGAAGATTCTCATCAGCTTATTGCACACCGGAAATGTAAGTGTTTTCGAGTCGCGGTGTGGCGCATAGAACCAGTCACTGTTGCAAAAAGATGCCGTAGATATCTAATCTTGATGGAAGTTTACCTTTGTGAACGAAGTATTTGGGATTCTTCTCCGTTCCTCGCAAACCTATCAATTTGTTTGACAGTTACACTTCAAACGGCGGTTGATTACTGTGACTTATGACAAACGTTTCTGGCACTGACCATCCGTTTGTGATATGTTTCATTCGTATAAATCATGCAATTATTCTGTCATTAAATGCTTACGGGGAACACGAACGATCTGGCTAAGTAACATTCTGATGTGGTTTGGAACTGAGGTTGACTTCAACTAAGAACAAGTGTAGTGAGGAGGAGCGATCGCACTATATTACTCACACCACTGCTAGTCAGCAGTGGGGCAAGAGCATAGATTTTAACATTGAAGTATTCTGGGAAAAATACAAAAAATACTCTGGAGTGCAGCATAGCATGAAATGGTTCTCAGTGCATACAAGAACTGAGTACTGGCGTTTGTGGCAACCTTGACGTTCTGAGCCCAGTACCGTACGCAGGTGAGCGCTTTTGTTTGTTGATATGTTGATAAGCATAACCTATGTGTTAGTTACCTGAATAAATAACCTTTGCGCCATCTGTGTTTTTAGCTCACAACACAATTCCTTTTTAGTTTAGCAGAATCTCAATCAGATTTACTTCAACTGGTCAAAACGTGACATTGTAGCCTGTCATTGAATCTAGTTTTAGAGTAAAACTGCAGCTGATATGGTCATTATAACAATGGAGTTATTGTCTGGGTCTCATTAAATTTCATGAGAAAGGTGACAGTCAGACGAGCTTGTGACGGTTTCCAACTTCACACCCAATACGATGGAACACCAGGAATGGATTACAATTAATCCAAGTCAACGTGCGTGGATAAGATTGTCGCTAAAATGACAGAAAATCTCACTTCATTCTCCATGCTTCAGGTTTTTGCAAGAGAAAAGAAAAAGCCTGGTGGCAGAATAAAGATGAGTAACCGTACGAGAACTCCAGCTCTCATGCTCTCCTAAATTTGAATGTCGAAACCATATAACTCAGAACGAGACAGTGGGTGTCACAAACGAAAGTGAACTGAATTGCAAGTTAATAGCTGACGTTGCGGAATATGATCAATTGTAAACCCTCCTAAACGATACGCTGGTTCGTCCTCGCTATCGTTAATAATTCACACGGAAATCTCGGTCCCGAAAAGTACTACGACTGTCCCCGTATTCACTCCCAAGACAAGCCAAAAGACGCGTACAAAGAAAGACATTTGTTCCGCCCCAAAACGTGTGCGACCAAGGCGACAAGGACAAAGTACCTATACGGTGCGCGGTGGCCATAAGAACATTCCCTAATCATAGAAAAGAGAAGGACATTCATCGAAAAAAATGGTTAGGGTCACTAATGGGCACAACGTAGTAAAAAGTCTGACGCGTAAAAACTAGTCAAGGCCACCCTCTCGGCCGCTCTGAGCAGGACCGCAAACGAGGACAAAGTCAATCATTTTTTTTCTCACGACGGAGGCGCCTTGGGACGGTAATAGGGTGGGCGCGCTAACATGATCACAGCCAGTAAGCTCGGAAGCACCTACCAGTTTCAATAATGCTATATAGAATCCATTGGTGATTTGTCAACATGTCCATGAATTAACCAAATACACTCTACTTCTTCCTGCACTCACAATTCCACTCCCACATTGGTTAATCTCTTTGGTCTTCGTTTGCGCCTACCACTATAAACTAGGTGGGATAAAATTCTCCCTCAGATACATTCGTGCCACGCTCCATAGTTTAATCCGCTCGGCCACGACAAATGCAAACAAACAGAGGACAAATTAGGGCCATTACCTACTGCTAGCCAGGAAGTTAGTCCCAGTTGCTCATTTGTTAGGTTGCTGGCCTTTAATTGATCTCTCAGCTTTATCTAGAACCTTCATTTGAAAAATGTTTTCATCAAGACGAAAATGTGATATTTTTGTTTTACTAATTGGGGCCTTATCTAATCCTTATCTAATCATGTTTCCTTTCTGATAAACCTTTTTTAAATTATTGATATGTTCAGATGCTTGATCAGACAGTGGCTGTTTGCACGTACAACTTTGATTCAAACAGTGATGGGGCTATTGATTGACAAGTTTATGGTTCCGATGCTTTCCCATGTGCTCCAGCTACAACGGTATGCTTATATTAGCAACCAATGCTCATGGCGTCCTGTTGCAATGCTGGCTGTTAGTCCCTGTGACAGGCCGCGACTCAGGATCATTTGTATTCCCTGTGTGATGATGAGGATCATCCGGCTACGATCTGACACATGTCTTGACCCCATTAAGACAATCCCACCTACTGGTGTCAGTTGTAACTAAGTACTTTCAAGTGCAGCTGTACATGTTTTTCCTCACACAGATCGTAACATTTCCAGTGATTTTATAATCGCCTTTTAGAAATGATGTTGCACTACTGGGAAGATTATTCAAATATTTGAACGGTTCTACTGTTTTAAAGCATCTCACTACTTGGAGCAAATTTGTGTGAAAATCCTGTTGGTTCACTTTCCCTCTTCTAGTCTCTTGTCTGACGGACACAATTTAAGCTTATTTTACTTACTTAAAGCATAATTTGTTACTTATAATTACGAGATCAAATACCGTCCCAGTAATTAGCCGTCATGACCATAAACCTTTGTGTTATATAATCTGATTTTTTTTATAGCATACCTCAATTTTTCACTTGCCATAATAGAAATAATAGCAAAGTTGTCATTGCCACATTGATTAGTTCAACAGCAGCTAAGTCCTTCACCAACTTGAGCGTCGGTAATTGCTGTATGAACCTGTAAGTGTGTAGTGAACTGTTGCCGGATATATCATTCAGTTATATGATTGACTTCAGACCTAAATCGGTGATGAATTCTAACGGAGCTAGTAACCATGGCGATCTTCAGAAATCTCGTTGCACGTGGCCAAACGTGAGTAAAAGTTTTCAAATTGGTGGTCTCAAATTTACTTGATTTCTCAGCCATTCTCGTAATCAAAAATGTCTTCGCTGTCCGTAGTCCGATTCATGTAAACGAGAATAATCACAGCCTACTGAATAACATTTTAGTAATATGATACTTATC